CTTCTTGCCTGTTTTCCTAAGGTGTTATTACACATTAATTTTCTATTAAAATTTGAGGTATAGGAGAAAAAACTGCATTTTAATGAAATTAATATTTAAATTAATTTTTATAAAGAAAAATTTTTAAAATTTATTTTAAAAATTTATTTAATTTTAAGAAGCGTAATTTTACATTGAATTTATTGAATTTTCTCATGAAATCAATTACACTGAACAACATTTTGTTTTTACAAATTATTTTTGATTTTTATTAATAACTAATCCGGAAAGTTATACAACATGATTTTATTTACTTATTCTTACCCTTTCTGCTCTAATTTACGCACACTTATATACACACACTTTCTTTTCGTATAAATTTCCATCCGGTTTTTAATAAAGAAAAACATTTATCATGACGTATCCTACATGTATACGTAGGTATATATAATATATTTTGTTTTAGCCTACAAATTAAAAAGGATTTAAGGAGTTTCACGGATAATTAGATTCCATTATAGTCCCTATAAAAAATTACAAAAAAACGAGAAAAAATAGAGTTGACCTTGTCAACTCTGTGATACCCGTACGAATTGGTTATCCTATGTGCGAATAAATAAGTTGCCGTATTACCATCATAATTTATGCAATATTTTAGTACTGTGATTTTCAAAATACTGTGTGTGCCAAACTACCATTGAAGTTGTATGGCAGCTACCAAAAGGCGCCAAGTAATTTCAACGACTTTTGTCAAACAGATTGGCCCTACTAACATATTCGTTTGTGTGAAATTTCAATACAATAGCTTTTATAGTTTCTGAGATATGGTCAAACAGCTTTTGAAGTTGTATGGCAGGTACCAGAAGGAGCCAAGTAATTTCAACGACTTTTATCAGACACATTGGCCCTACGAGTACTAATATATTCGTTTGTGTGAAATTTCAATACAATAGCTTTTATAGTTTCTGAGATATGGTCAAACAACTTTTGAAGTTGTATGGCAGGTACCAGAAGAAGCCAAGTAATTTCAACGACTTTTATCACACATATTGGCCCTACTAATATATTTGTTTGTGCGAAATTTCAATACCACAGCTTTTATACTTTCTGAGATATAGCCAAATAAATTTTGAAGTTGTATGGCAGCTACCCGAACCGGTACCCCGATCATGTCCAATTTAAATAGGGTTCTGGCACTTACCACAATAAATCATCTGTGAAAATTTGGTGAACTTAACTCAATTAGTTTTTGAGTTATCGTTGGGACGGACAGACAAAGCTAAATCAACTCAGAATTCGACGCTGATCAAAAACATACACTTGAGTCTATATCTAAGACCGTTATTTCTCAACGTTACAAATTTAGTATACCCTTCGAACATACGTTTGTACGGGTATAAACATTTAATATGTTTTTGCGTATGTATGCACATTATACATATTATTTAGAAAATGTCTTAAAAAATTTTGGTATAGTTTCGATATTCTGATCAAATATAATTTAAAATCAGATTTAAAATTTTATTTTATTTTTAATAATTCGAAATTCTTAGCTTTAATAGCAGATTGAATAACGTTTAAAGAAATTTTACAAAGCAAGCTTAGAAAGACTTACACTGTAAGTAAACATAATTATTTCTGTATAACAAAAAGTCACAAAGCTTTGAAATTTTTTGAAAATTATTTCAGTTCAGTTTCATATTTACTTTAGACAGTAAGTTTTAAATAAACTTGTAGTACATAATAATCTTCATGTTTATTAAAAATTTTCTAGTCGGGAAATATTATATCGAAATAACAAATATGTATATCTGGAAAATAATACGTAAGCAGCCGATTAATATGCAAATTCGAATAAGAAATTGAGTTTGAAATTGGATATACTCTAAGAAATCCCGCAAGAAACATCACCATAAGTGGGTTGTAGTGTAATCCATAGTGATCAAAACTTTCGGATGCCTTGAAAATATTTGTTTTAAATCAAATCCGTAAGGTAAAACTAAGAAAAATCGGACATCAAGCAATTTTCCAAAAACTGAACAAGGTTAAAGTATTAAGTGAAAATTCTATTACCTTAAATTAAGTAAGGAGAAAAGAAAAATAAACATATTGTGATTTTATTTATCGGGTATAAAAAGTTAATCTCAAATATTAATTAACAGGAATCGATAAATTTCTATTATTCAAGTCACATTAAAGTACCAAAAAATGCTTAATAAGTATTCAAATTTAAAGACTTTCTATTTCAATTTTTATTGATTTTTTCTTTCCAAAACAAATGTTTTTCGTTTAAAGGTGAAAAAACTTGAAATTTTCTTGTTTTTTATATTATGTAAAAGAATTACCAAAGATATTTGAACGAAAATTCTTCAGACAAAAAAAATTTATTTTAATTGTAATTCCAATATTCATTCAAAACTGTTTTTCATTCCATCAACGTATTAAATTGATAATCTGAAGTCTTCGTAATCATCTTTTATCTTTTTGAATTGAAAACTTTGTTTTTAAATAAAAAAAATTTTTTGTTTGTAATCAGATTGTTCAGGGATTCTTTAAAGAAAAGCAGGGCATTTATCTTCAATCATATATTATGTTAGACATTGCTTCTTCTAGACATTGCTTATAATGAATAACATAATTTTAGTACTTGTGTAACTTTTTGTATTTGTAGCACACACTAATTTTCATGTCAGATTACAAGTTTCTTTGGTTTAAACTTTTAATGGGTTATTATAAAATTTTTCTCAAGATAAAAAATATTAAAATTTCTATTTAATATTTTATTTCATTTTGAATGAATTTACAAAATAAGAGTAATCCCGATTAAAAAAATTATTTCTATTATTTAGGATGGTTTTTATTTTAAACAAATAAAAATAAATAAATATGAAAGTCAGTCACTTAATCAAATTTTCGTGACAATTTTGAAAATTCTAAAACAAATGAAATAAAATAAAGTTATATAAACAATAAAAACAAAAAAAAAAGTTGAAGAAGTTTTTGAAAAAGAAAAAAAAAGACAAAAATAAATGGCAACGACAACCGTTCTGCAAGGACCTAAAATATAATCTCAAAATGTAAAAAAAAAGTAGAAAAGCGAAGAATAAAAAAATCAAACGGATCTTTTAGTTTTTTCATTATCATTGTCCTTCTCTGATATGTTTATGTACGAATTTCGTCTGTCTATAAGGGAATTTTTGTAATATTGCAAAAGGCTATTGAAAGTAACTTCAAATATATAGGAGAATACATAGGAAAGAAAATTATAACAAAAGAAGAAGAAGAGGAAGAAGAAAAAAATAAGTCATGAAAGAATTAAAGCGGAATTTCAAAAAGATTTAAATTTTTTGTTTCTTTTTTTGTTCTTTTTGTATTTATATGGCAAATATATGTCTTAGGTGTTTGTATCTTTGTAAAAAGTGCTATTAGAAAATGTTTGTTTATAAGCTTTTAATGGATTTAAGATACAATATTCTATGTACAAGAAACTTTTATTTTTAACTCTATTTCCGTTGTATTGTCTTTATTGACTATTAAGTACACAATTTTATGAAAATCTCTTATGGCATTCTAAAGATATATGATGTTAAAATTTTCACATAACTGTATACTGACAGCTGAAATATCGTATTTAGCATATGAGAGAAGATGTAGCATAATTGTTTTGCTAGGATAAACTTATATAGGCATCATAGGTTTAAATACAGCCCTATTTATAGTTACTGTGTACTGAAATATGTATACGTACTTACATTTGTGTAATTTTATTGATTTGTTAGTGAATATATGTTAGATTGAAAACGTTTGAAATTTCTAATACAATTTTAGGAGATGTGGAAAATTTTAAGTTTTTTTTTTTTTTTTATATTTAAATTGTTTTAAAGCTTGCCGGATTAATGTATCTTATAATTTAGGCGACATATTTAAAAGTATTGTCACAATCTTGCTCTAGTTGTACAACTATTCCATTGTCAGGCACCACATGAGCACTTCATAAATATGAATTGCGTCGCACAAGCGCTGTGTAAAGCCACTTAACAACGCTAGGTTTAAATTTCCATTGATTCCCAACCATTTTTTAGATAGTGCAGTCAGCAGTACAGGCCTTTCTCACTCTCTCCTTCTTATTAGTTAACTAGTTAAACTTTGATTTCAGAACAATACACCAACATACTTTACGGCCGGATTCAGGGTGACTCGGTACAGCTTATATAGTTCGCCTACAGGCTTTCCACGCTCTTACCTTCGCGTTAGTCAGCTAGTTAAGTTTTGAGTTCAGAACAATACACAACATACTTTACGACCGGACTCATAGTAGCTCTTTGCAGCTTACATATGTGGTGTGGACACTTTGCTTTTGTCTCTAATTTTAATATTAAATTTTTAAATTACTCTATCATTACATATTTGAAATTTATGCTTATAAAATTGAAGTAACTCCAAAAATAAATTCAAATGTTATAAAACTTTATAATAAAGATGTTGTCCAGTTTAAAAGTTTTAGACGTAATGTGCTTTTACATTTCATATTTATCTTCTTTATCTACAATTTTTCTTTAGTGTTTTGATTTCTAGTCTTACCTCTAAATCAATTGTCTTAGATTCTATGCTTGTCTCGCTCCGTGATTATTGCATTTAAAGCTTCCCACATTTCATATCTTATATCAAAGATTTTATAATACCTTTCTATATCTTATAATTAATTTTAATCTTATAATACCTTTTTAGAATACAAATTACTGTGATAAAATTTATCAAAGTATTTTCTAAAAAACTAATCAACCAATAATTTTCTAACAGAGTAACGTATAAAAATTTGTTGAATAAATAATATGTCATTTCTCAATGTCAAAAAGTGCCGAGACAATTTCATAATACCTTTCAGATACAATTCGTATGAGTATTAACAAAATGAAAATTCTCTCAATATTTTCTATTTTACTTTTCATATACACAAGGATATTATTGATTTTTCACAAAACCTTATATTCAAATGGAAAATTTGTATGGCAGTGGATTAAGTTTCCGTAGTGTAGTGGTTATCACGTGTGCTTCACACGCACAGGGTCCCTGGTTCGAATCCGGGCGGAAACATACTTTTACAAAAAGTAAATTTTAAATAAAAAAAATTAATAAATTAACATTTTTTAAATTATTTAATTTTTAAAAGAAATTTAATTCGAATAGAAAAAGTTTAGAAAGAATATTGAATACTCAACACATTCTGTGGCTATTAATTGCAATTTATTGTTATGTTGTAGTTATAAAAATTACAAGATGTGCATGCAATTGTTTTTTGTGGATATTCATATATATATATATATATATATATTACGTCACAAAGGTGTATAAAAATGAAAAACACAAAGAGAATTTTTCAATAGTTTTTCAAGAGCATAAAGGAAATTAGCAAATTGGGTGAGGGATTCAAGGGGGGTTTCATTATTAGATGAAGAACAGAATTGAAAAAAAAAACTGAAAGAAAAACGATATAAAATTTTTATAAATTTTATTTATATATTTTGCTTATGACTGGTTTTTATATAGAAAATATTAAAATTAACGAATGCAGCTATAAAATTTTATAATAATGTGCAGTTATAAGGTGTGTGCAGTATAATTGAATCTATATAGGAAATAATTTGCCTTGTTCTATAGAATAGAATATCTTTTGTAAACGGGCTATTCTATTGCCTACAGTTGTACTATACTAGATTCTAAAGTTTATTAAGATGTTTAAAGCTCGGTCTAGAATTATAACTTCTAAAAATATATGGGACACTAATTTTAAAAATATCCAAATCTTATTGCAATCGTGGTTCAATTCATGAATAATAAAAATATGAGCTTATAATTTAATACTAATTTATTTCTGTTAGAGCAAAACGAATAGGAACAAAATATGTTGCTATACAAATTATGTTGATAAAGTGGTTAAAATGAATAATGTTGCTAGAAAATGCTTCTATGTATACAATCAATTTTTCAATGTAACCTGTTGCTGCCAATTAATTTTTTTTTTTCAATTCTACAGCACTATGGTATATGTGTATATTTTTGCTAAAATGCAAACCAGAATATAAGTAAAAAAAATTAATTTTTTTTATTCTATAAACACAAAATTTCATTTACAACATTTTATATTATAAATTTTAAAATAACAAAATAATACTGCGGCAATCTAATTTTAAGTATACAATCAAAATTATTAATTAATATATAAAGAAATTTTCTTTATAATTTCAATATTTGAATTATATGTGAAGAAAATATTTATGGTATTTACCATATAGAATAAATCTTAATAAATCCTATTTACATACATGCACACTATTATTGAAAATAAATCAAATTTTATATCATGTACACAAATATGAATGTGAATTGTGTTTAATATTTTAATATATATAAATTTATAATATTTTGGTAATGTTTCTGATTGGAATGAACATTTATACATATTAATTTCAATATTTTAAAACTTAATTAGAATAATTAGTTATACATATTTTAATTAAATTAAATTGAATGCAGTATAGTATGTTAAGTTTAATTAAAAGTGATATATTTATTGCGATATTTGTATATACGAAAATATAAATTTACTTTCAAGCTTATTAAATGCAACAAAAAAAAAAATAACAATTTGTATTTGCGAAAATTTTAGCATCAATCAATCGCAATGATTTCATATAGAATAATATGGTGTGATTGGTATGTAATAAAATTTATGATATTAAGCCAGAAAGTGAATTTTTGTGTACTTTGTGTTTTTATATACAGAAATGTTGCCAGAGTTGTTCTCTTTGCGTAGTTATTAGTGATTGGTTGTTTTAAAGTGTAAGTGCATAATTTACGGAAGTGAAAATAAATTTTCACAAGCGGAGTATTAGTATAACTTAGATATTGTTTAAACGTAGAGTAGAAACGATTTTCGAATTGGTAACTGTTTAACTGATTAAAATATAGAAAACCTACTGTTGACAGATCGGTAGTTTTTTACCTATAAATATATTTAATGTATCGCTAATAAGCTGATTTGCTTGTAAGAACAGATGTAAATACAAAAGTAAACATAGAACTGAGTGCCGTTTGAGTTTCTGCATGGTTTTTAGAGACTGTTTTGATATTTAAACAAATAAAAATATTAAATTCCATTTTAACATATTCTTTGAAGAAAATATGATTAAAAAATTAAAATTTAATAAATTTTTTTTTTCAATCAATTTAAATACCCGATCAATTAAATTTTTTCTTAAGAACACAGATTCATTTTTATCTAATAGAGTGATATTTTTATTTTAGTTTTAAATCACCCGTATAGTATAGCTATGCACACTATTTAAATTTTATAAAAATTAAAATTTTGTCTTCTTGTATTTCCCAAAAAAATATTTTTTATATATCATTCAATTTACATACGTTATGTATTTTCCATACACATTTTTATATAATATATTTATGGCAACACTATTTTTGAAGCTTATATTATATATGCTAATTAAATTATAATCGTTCATGGTTACAATAAACCAATAATCATAATAATATTGTATGTATGTACAATAATGTAGAAAATAATATAAATACATAATATATGACATGGTATACTCGTACATATGCATTATGTACATATAATATTTATAAGTATATCAAAAAATCTCAACATAAAACTATGAAAAATTTTCATATTTATTTAGAAAATTTCATTAATATAATATGAGTATATAATTCTAAATATTATAATATAGAGTAAATGGACATAATCCTTATCACCCTTTTTCTATATATAATAGGTTTTAGTTATCATATCACATAATTCGAATGTTTTGAATACAACAATTTAATATGTATATGTTAAAAATCGTTTATCTTAATATTAATGATTTTTCAGAAATTGAATTTAAAATTATGTCAAAGCAATAGAAATTATAAATTTAAAAAAAATACAAATTTTTTATATGAATTACGCTAAGTTCAATTGCTTTGTAAGAGTTTTGATTAGGGACAGTTTAGGTCTTTTTATTTGTGAATTAAATCAAGAATTATATTGGCTGGCGTATGATACATAAAAATAAAAAAAATATATATATTTATAAATATAATATGTATATGTATTTATGTATATTTCAAGAGTAGAAAATGTATAGCCTATTTCGATATAAGAGTAAGCTCTTAAAATAAAATTTGCTTATGGTAAAAAATTTATTACAGTAAATATTCACTGCTAAGTCTACAGTTAAACAACTCGAATTTTATAGATTTTTTTTTGGATCAATCTAAAAAGTATGATTTTTTTTGTTATGCTGTTATTGAATTGTAGTATAAATATAACAATATTTATCCCTTTCACATGCAAATGCTTGTATTTGTGTTATTAAGCTTTATATGTGTTTAAAAAATTTTCTACAAACTTTAACTAGATCTTCTTTCTTCCAGTTTTTTTTTTGTTTTACCAATTTTTTTTTTAATTTTTAATCATGTAGATTATAAAAGTATGTTTTAATTATTTATTAAATTGTATAAAACATTTTTGTGTATTATTTGTTGTCTATTCCACTTAGGTCAACGATGTTGAACCGATATTATATTCAGTTTCATCGAATCGGGTGTTATTGTATACTGAAATTTTAGATCATCATAGCAAAAATAAGTTAAAAATTTTGAATTTGAAAAATTTCGGGTTTTCACCTCGAGCTTCATTATTATAGTTCTTATTTAAAATATTTTTAGATAAAGCTAAAGTAAATTTAATTTTAAATTACGTGTTTTAAGATTCAATTAATTATTTAAATACAAAAATAAAATTGTAGTGCATTATCCAAATGCTATTGGTTTGGATTCAGGTCTGAAAGGGTTATATACCAATACTTAAATATATTAATATTATCCTATTCTATTTATACATTATATATATAGAGATATGATATATTTATATTATAATTTTGTATATCATTTTATTATATTATTATAATCCTAAAGAATAATTTTCTTAATTATATTTACTTTGAACTCTCATATTTGTAATAAATTTATTTTACGAAAATTCATTTAATTATAAATATAAACTTTTTACTTTGCATGATGTAATTTTGATGATAAACTATATAAACGAATATACACATATATGTATAACATAATATGTACATATATTATATATAAGTATTATGTTTATAACATAAATGCATAAATGAATGAATGAATTAGTTATAAAATGTATAAAAGATCAATATTAAATGAAATTATATTAGAGAAACATGTAAAACAAAAAAAAATAATATTAAATTTACTTGAGGTTATAAGATTCTGTTTTGACTTTGATATAAAATTATTCTTGTATTAAATTTTGTTGTAGTTATGTAGGTTATCAAAGAAAATAAGAAAAAAAATACAATATTCATTAAAGATTTTCAATATAAAAAAAATGTATGTATTCGTATGGGTATATGTGTGTCAATGTATTTTGATATTGCATTTACAATATCCTTTTATTGTCTTGTAATTTGGTGGTTTTTCCTGAGATGCAAGGTTTTAAATTTTCTTTTTGTTATTCGTTTTCCTTTTTTTTTCAATAAGGATGGTACAAAATGAACTTTGCTGTTTGCAGTTTTCTAAAATAGCTTTTTTATTTAATTGAAAATACAAAAAATTTAAACTGTATTAAATGTGTACATAACATTTCTTTCGTTACGATTACAACTACTTATATGATTTTAAAGGTTATGGTCACAATTACAGAAATTATTGCAAATAAATTACGGTCCTATTAATTCTAATAGTATAAATTATATCGGTGAAATCTTACTTTCATCATAAATTTTGCTTCTTATAAGTTAAGTTTTTTAATACAAAATTTTCATATTTCACATTTTATGTTCATAAATGCACAACTATGGTATAAAATATTTACCTAAATTAAAGGATGTGCCTCTATCCTCTCTAGCCTATATAGAGGATAGATGTATTAGATACCTATATAGATGTATTAATTCTGCAATATCCAAATGTGCATACAATATCATATTGTTGCAGTATTTAAGTCTAAATCCCGAATAATGAATTTAAGATCTTCATTTGTGCTAAAAAATTTTGAG